CACACTAGCCAATTGCCCGTCAAGAATGATGGGAGGCAGGGTGGGAGGGGGCTGGGATGGAGTCCCATGATGCTTCCCCCCCACCCCTGTCCAGTGCTTGGCGTGGCTTTGGAATCATGATGGAGCTCCCCCACTCTTGGAGCACTCTGATTGGCTGTTTCCATCAGCTAATCAGAGTGCAAATAAAGCATTACAGACAGACAGACATAGGCTTTTACAATATTACAGTACCTTTGGAAATTAGGATACCATGTAAGAATACCTTTGGGCTTACATTTGAAACATAAAAATTTCAAACACAGAGAAAAAAATTCATCAGGTTGGAAGCAAAAAGTTTTTCAGCTTTATATAAATTAACAGAATATTAACTAATTCTTGTGATTTTTAGTTTTCTCTCTGTGAATGTTTTTCCGTGCAAATTTTTCACTGATCAATAAAAATAGAGGTAGAAAAGAGCTGTGAAATCTATTAGACATAAGTTAGATTTGAAACACTATTCCCCACCATATTGATGGGCTTGTCAGAAAAGAGGTGTGAAAGAAGCTGTGAAGGGAACATAAAATCAGCAGGGATGGAGAAAACTGGCATCACTGTAAGAAATCTATGGGAACATCAAGACAGGCATGCATGTGCAGTTTGCAATGCCGTGGACCCATCTGCAGCACAGCCAACTGTACATGCTGCACATGCAAGCATTTGCTGCGCTGCTAATTTGCAACACAGTGGATTTTTTGACACCAGGAGATCCTAGTGTAAAAAGAAGTGACGGAAAAAAACGGGGTGGCACATGTGGCTGCAGCGTGCACCACCCAAAACGGGAGCCTGGGCAACCAGAACCACACTCTGGATGCCAGCCAGACTTTGAGTACCTGAATCACACTGCTGCTGGAGGCCCTGGAGGCCCCAGGACCCCAGGTAAGTCTGCCCCATCTGGGGCAATTTGTCACACACCAGAATGTGTGTGCAGGGGTGTTTTTAGTTTCATAGTTGTTCCCTAAATTTGTTCATGGGAAACAACTATCCCCCTATTTGTCCCTGGGGAATGTGCATTTCTGCTCATGGGGATGTGCCCTACTTGTTTATGTGCCTGCCTTTCCTACCTTCCACTAATTCCCAAACTTACAAACAGGCAGGCAGTCATTGACTTCAGTGGGATTTACTTAAAGTAATGTGAGCAGAATGCAGTCCATGATCTATACTGCTTGGAACATTAGAAATATTCACGTTAGACTGTGGGGAAGCACAAGCACATCTGAAGGATGTAACTTATCTAGAAAAAGAAGGTATTTCTGTTGGGACTTGTTCCCAAGACATAGAGAGCTGAAAAGAGTTAATGTAATTTCCTAAATGTTAACTTCAGCAATGTAACTAAAAAAGCTCAGTTTGTGTGTATCATTTTGCATCATAAACATTCTCATAAAATACCATTTCTACAAAAAGCAAACTTGCCATTTTTATCCATCTCATATATTCTGATTATTCTTAGTGTGTCATCAAAGAGGGAAAATAAAGGAGAATTATACATTTTTAGGTAAAACCTTGGTTTACATTTACTTTTTAATAAACATGTAAAGTTAGTGAAAATGCAACCTTGTGGGGGAGGGAGCGAGCTGTTATATGGATTTAATTAAATGCACTCTGTAATGGACTGGTGGCCTTGTATGTTTTGTAGAACCATTAGATGAGCTGAAGATCAGGAGCCACAGCACTGAACCACTACCAAAGTTGGAAAACAAAGAGAGAGGAGGTCATCATGGGACAACTTCCTCTAGGGAGCCAATAAAAGCTCAGGAATGGGATGGAACTCCAGGACTGCCAGTTGCATCCAGTAGACTGGGAAGATCCTCTGTCAGTCCAACCATGTTGGCAGGAAGCAACAGTTCAGGTATGTGGGAGTTTCACAAACACAGCAAAGAATGGGATCTCCTGGTACCAATATAAATACAGGAGTTTATCCAGCAAGAAGCGGAGTCAGTGGGATCTGAGTGGCACTTAATGTCAGTTTTTAAAGATATTAATGTGATTAATGGTACAGATAGTTGGTACACTTCTGAAAAACTCTATACACTTCTAAAATTAGGCACATAAATGACTTTCAGAATTTGTCCTTAACACCTTCCTAAGCACCTTAACCCTGAGAGCTGTATTCTTCATTTAATAAGAATTGGATCATTAGTAGCTAATGTTTGAGAATAAACTTCTACCATGAAAATATTTGCACAGAAACAGTAAATTACATATTACATTGAGGCAAAGGGTATTAGCAAAGAACCATCATGATTATACCTCCATGTTTATATCATCAATTTAAATACCATATAAGGCAATGAACATACTGAAGCAAAAAAACTAAAAAGCTGTCATATGACTATATGCAGCAGGTGAATACAGAAGAGTTACATGCTTCATGCTTACATGCAAACCAATGCAAAAGTGACTCTACAGATTTCAGTACTCAAATCAGAGTCTATCAGTGACATCAGGGATCCTGGTTTTCTCTGATAAAAAAAATCAGAAATTTTCTGATTTAAAACACCACAAATTATCTGATAAAAACCCCAGAATCTGTGATTAAAATGAAATTCTACTATGTATATAGGTATCAGTTGAACACAATGTTTTCTTGCTACATTTACAGTTTTAAAGCACCATGGAAGCCTACCAGTGCCTCAATCACTATAAAAAAATAAATTCCAAATACCTATAAATTTTGGCATTTGATTTTGGGTTTTTTATCATGGAAAATTAGAGTTCCCCCTGCCCCCTTCACTCATCAGGACGCAGCTCCAGGCCTCTCAGTCCCAAACCACATCCCCCCCCCAATCCTGCTGGTGCCCCTCACTCCCCACCCACAACACCCGCCGGAGCCCTGCTGGTGTTTCTCATTTCTCACCCACAGCCACCTGGCTCTGCTGGCCCCTATCAGTCCCTACCCACAGCCCCTGGCCCTGCTGGTGCCCCTTGCTCCCACAACTACAGCCCACTGCCCCCCCGAGTCCTGCCAGAGGGGGCCCCCAGCTGCCAGGGCTAGAGGGCCAGGGTCCTGGGTCCACAGCTCCCTGCCACCTGCAGCAGTGGCTAAGTCCTGGCTGCCGCATATGGGAGGCAGCAGCTGCTGTGGCCCCAGTGGGGAGCATGGAGCATGGCTCCCCCTCCCCCGTGGGCGGTATTGCCAGAGCAGAGCCTGTGTGGGGGCAGATGTGGACTGCCCGCTGTGGGCGAGCTTGGGGCTTCCTGCCCCCAGGTCTTCCGCAGCCCACCAGGTGGGACCAGATGTGGCAGGGCAGAGTTGGCAACTGGGGGCCCCCTCTGGCAGGGCTGGGGGGCGGGGGGCTGTGGGTGTGGAGTTAGGGGCACCAGCAGGGCTCAGGGGCTATGGGTGGGGAGTGAGGGGGAGCAGCAGGGCTGGGGGAGCTGTGAGTAGGGGGTGAGGGGCACCAGAAGGGGTGGGGGGGCTGTGGCTTTGGACTGAGGGGCTGCAACCTGGTGAGCGAAGGGGGAAGAGAATCTCTGATTTTCCATGATAAAAACCCAAAATCAAATGCCAAAATTTATAGCTATTTAGAATTTGTTACAGTGATCGAGGCACTAGTAGGTTTCCAAATTGCTCTAAAATTGTAAATATATCAATAAAACTTTGTGTACAACTGATTCTGGCTCCAACCCAGGGTTGGAGCCGGAGCTGCAGCAGCTGCCAGCCTCCACTCCCCCGCTGCCTCATGCTCAATTGTATGGTGAGGGGCCGTTTCCATCCCCCATGTTAAAAGGGCAAAAAGCCCTTATCTTCTAATTGAGTACATACAGTAGTTTGTTTGCTTAACATGTCTACTTGGAAAAAATTGTTATATATACTATATTAATCCTGGTAAATGTCTTTTACAAGAGTAAAGATTGTGGATGAAGTCACATACTAAAATTGATAAACAGGAAGCCATTTCTGCAGAAGAGTGATCAGTTGCACATGGGAGAGTCTCCACACTGTTTGAGTAGTATAGAGATCTCTCCTGATTACGATATTTTGAAATGTAGACCATGTCACATTCACACTGGTGACACTGATATCATTTCTCAGTAGAGAATCAGGTCCAAGTTACAAACCAAACTGTTGAGTTCACCCAGTCAGCGACTTTGGCTGGAACAAAAGGGAAGACAGGATTAAACAGAGTCAGTCAGTCCAAGTCCATCCCCTCATTTAAATAAATCAAAATATTTCAATTCCATCCAACTTTATGGACAGGTTGTTTTTTAAAGATGTGATTCATCTCCCAATAAAATCAGAAAAACATATTTGGCCTTGGTCCTCAAATGGTTTAAATTGACACAATTCCATTGATTTTAATGAGTTTTATACCACGCTTTAATTATTTGTGAGTTTGTCTTGATTTTTGTGGCAAAGACGTTCAAAACTGAAGAATGAAAACACTATTATTATTACAGAAATACTTTATTGGCTGATTTATTTCCCCACAGAATATCTGCAGCTGATTTTAATGTATTAACTACTGCATTTCATTAAAAAAATAGCGCACACTAATATATCATATGTATTTTCCCACATAGGTCTGTGACTGCTTTTTCCAGTGTGACATTTCATTCAAAGTGCTGTTTAATGTGCTTGTGGATTGTAACTGTTCAGGTGCCTTTAGAAAACTAATTAGTATTATACTGGAATAAAGAAATCTAAAAGATCGAGGTATAAATGTATCAAAATGAATACAAGGCAGGGTAGAGGTGCACCTTATAGACTAAATCTAATTTAGTCTATACATTTCATCCCTACACTGCCTTCTGCTGACTTCAGACTAGCCTCACTACGTACATTTCTGTAAAATGTCTACAGGTGCTTTATCAAGTTGGTTATTATTCATTCTTATTTAAATTTATATCTTGCCTATTAGAATATCTCAAAGTGGCTTACAATAAATGATGAAATAAAGAGTTCAAATTGATATCAGTGAGATGCATGTTAAGTCCTATTGGAACTATGTGAGGATTAATTAAGCTTTTGGATGTGATTCCAGTGTTAGTAATTTCAGTTTTACACCTGTCTGACACTGTTGACTTTAGTGAATTTACTCCTCATCCATGTCCATACAAGTAAAATAGGAACCTCCCTCCAAACAGGATACTGGTATCCACAGAAAGGGTGGCATTTTCTTCCCTTCCTAATTGTATAATTATCCAAATTTGGTCGCCTGTGGGTGGCATTCTATTTTTTTCCTGGTTGCCTATAGGGCATATTTGGTACTTACACACCCAAAGGAATTCTATTCCTGGATATGTAGCTCTGCTCATATTGACAACTATGTACACGCACAGACTGGGCAACAGAATGACCTCTCATCTTTACACTAAATAGATGAGTGGCTAGGGCACTCATTTGGGAGGTGGGTTCGAGGCCCCCGTTATCTAGGGAGCATCCAAACCTTAGTTTCTCTGACTTCCCAGTACAACACCGTACCACAGGTCAGTCAGCCAATTTTCTGTGGCCCTTTTTGAAGCCGGGTTCCATGAAAGTGAGGCCAGGTAGTATGTAAAAGCAAGCAGTATGTGGCTGAGTGAGGTAGCTGCTTGTCTGGAAGGGAGCAGGGCCTGGGTTCTAGCATGAACACATGTCCCCAGTGGGGCAGAAGCTTCCCCCTGCACTGTCCTCCATCCATTTTTTTCCATTGACTAGGTTTTGGCTCAGTTTCAGAAACAGCACTGAAGAAGAGACTAAATAATGGATGACCTGCGATGGTGGTTAGAGTGTTTTGCCAGGAAGTGAGAGAGGCCTGATTCAAACTCCCTGTGGGTAAGGTGGGCCAAGAATTCAGGACTGCTGGCTTACTGGGAGGTGGGGAGGGGGAGGAAAGGGAGAGGAGGGAAGGGGAGGGCGCTGTAGTCACTGAATTATAGGATCAGAGTAACAAGATTGACACCTTTCCTGTTCCTAAGTCTAAGTCCTGTAGACGCAGATTTTGGCCAACTCCATTTTCAGACATCTAGGTTTGCTGTGTGTCCACAGGAGGTGTGCACACATGTGATGCCTGGTACTGCTCATGCTTAGTTTGCATGACTATGTGGTCAGAAATAGTCACCCGTAAGCACAAGGCTGTGCATCAAGGAATAGACCAAGTGCCAAAAATGCCTTATAGACATATAAAAATGGCTACTTAGATGACCTCGAAAGAATATAATGTCAGTCAAAGCTCAAATGATCCCACAATTCTGATTTCATTGCAGCACCATTTTTCAAAGCAAAAGATCATTCTCTGGTCTGTCACACAATTTGTCAAGGACACTGGCTCCCCATTGGCCACATATGCTTTCCCTCGGAGAGCTCCTTTGGAAAGCAATTTCAGTGACTTTAACCATGCCAGCATTCAAAACATGACATTTGCTATTTCAGTGAAAAGCCACAGGAGGTCTACTAACTGGGAGGCTACATATGATTTAACTCTAGGAACTCTGAAGAGCATTTCCTGGAATGTTGCTCTTTTTCTTGGTGGCACTAAGCATTTTGCATTGACACCTGCTGCCTGAGACAGGCACTGCATTTCATTTTAGATATTTTATGGAATTGATTTTGGTGCAGCATTTGTTTTTTTGTTTTTTGTTTTTTTTTTAATCACCAGCAATATAATGCTCAGCCAACAAGTTTAGGTCTCAAACTAGAAGTGTTGCAAATGATCAGGCAGGAAGTAAGTACACCATACTTAATCAGGGATTGTGGTTAGGATTCCAAAGGTAATACAACAATAACTTCAACTGCTGGGGAACAAACACTGAGAAGATATGGTGGACTTGATTTAACCCCTGCTACTCTGAAGTGGGTGGTAAACTGCATCGTGCTGTACTAGCTGAATTAAGGAGAATCGCCCTACAGGAACGGCAATGCAGCCC